CCGGAAGCCGACGTGTATATCGGCGACGGAACTCATCATTCAGCCAGCGTTGAAAAATCACTACACTAACGGAGCAATGGTCATTGCAGAGCTCGGAAAGCAATCAATGAATCAGTTTGTCTTTTCCCTTCTAAAACTAATCTGTAAAAATGCGTGGTGGACTTGACCGATTTTACGGAATGAATCTATTAACCCTAAGGATTTTTTAGTATTTTTGATAATTTAGTAGTTTCTTTCTGAAGTCTGATGGTAAATTAAATTGAAACATGATGTTGTGTGTGTATTTCAGTGCAGCGGATTTGTACATAAAAGACTACTTGCATCCCTATGTAGAAGAAGGTCATGAATATGCAAGGCCATTACGAATTTACTATCACAAACGCTGGGTTGCTACAGTGAATGCAGTGGTGCAAAAGGTAAGGAGGCGTTTTAAGTGTTGTATTTCTTCCTGGGTGTTTTTTTTGCGAACTACTTGTTCGATATTTATCAAGATGTAAATCCAAATGCTTCACAGCGTTTCAAAAAATTAAAAAGTAAAAATGGAATGAAAATCAAAACTTTTCTATTGAAGGTACAAATAAGCACAACTATAGAATCTGGTGAAACAAAGTAGTATAAAATTTTACCAAAATCAAAGTAAGTGAAACCTTAAACACTTAAGTGTTAAAATTACAAGGAAGAAAGAGGTAACATTATACTGCTAGGAAAAATACCTACAGGACGACGTTCACTCAATCTCTCGACATTTTCTAATTGGCGGTGGTGTCCTACGTGATTTAACTTCGAGTCTGTGCAACATATAATTTCAACATCTCAAAATGGATAGAATAAAATCAGCGTAACAGAAATTAAAAACGAATACAAAGATTTTATTGTTATTTTCTGTAGGACCAGCAGAGGTGGCTTAGGGGAACAACTGTTGTCGCTGTGGTGACTGGTCGGGATGTCCTTGGGATCGTGTAGTTCCGGTGGTTGAAGAATTTTTGACACTATAGACCTAGTTTTAGCTATATCGAATTCATTTGCTGTCTGGAGGAGAATTATAGATGCCTACTATTGTAATTAGTAATTTTCCATGCTTTCGCCGATCAGTACAAGGCGAATGCCAGAATAGTATCTTAACAAACTGGACACGGACGGCACACGATCTTTCCTTCCATCGTCATCTTTTACAGATGCACACCGACTGTAAGAATAAGTACGATAATAGCACACAATTAAAAGAAGCTATGGGTAGCTTACCTACCAAAAATGTGGATAATTCCTATATGAAAGTAAAATTACTTTTTCTAATATGTTGTGAGAATGCACATTTTGTGGGTCCATGACTCCGAAAAAATTGATTTACAACAAAACGGCTGTCTACCCGGTCGTCCGTCCATCGCACCTGCGTCTAAATTGTTCAGACGACTTTGTCCATTCGATCTGCATTTCCCAATCAGTCCGAACGGGAAGTTTTCCGAATTTAAAACGGATATTTTGATTTTTGGAGTACTTTGTATGAATGCTCCACATTTTCAATTTAAAAGCAATGGCTCCAATTTCATTTTTTCTTTGATAAACCAAAAACTTATAAAACTGTCGTAGGTCAGATTTTCGTTTAACACAGAATTTTCGCAAAGTGCAAAAGTTCAATTTTTTCACGTCATCCTATATTAACGTCTGTATTAAAGATACAGATTTTTCGTAATGAAATCTGTTCGTCAGAATCAGATCTTGAAATAGTGTCATATTTTCTTTAATGTAAGTTACACTTTCTTTTTAAAGCGTTGCGAAGTGGACTGAGGTATTTGTGCTCATAGATTGCCAGAATTTGAATCCTAGCGAAGGTGGTGTTTTAGGGTTCTCTTGCGGTTTCAAGTAGTATTGGAACAGTATCTAATCGTTACAAAAAATGTGGGGAAGTGTGTGCTGTGTTAGCACCACTACTTTCTTTTACTTTCTCGCCTTTACTTTATAAGAAGAAAAATTATTGTAATCGTGCGCCGAAAAATGGCAAATTTTCGGCAGAAAATCTTATTGCTGGGCCCTGATAAAGAAAAAAAAGTAAATAAATCTTGTTCTGTTTATAGTAATTTATTTCGTCTAATCCGTTGTGTAATCAGAATCCATGGTGTTGTGGTTCTTGATACCGAAAATCGATTGACGGCAAAAAGGCTCTCCGTTCGTCCGTGGTCAACACTACCGCCTAAACCGTTCAACTAATCTTCTGCAAAATTGATATACCTCGGGCTATATAAATGAATTCGGAGACCTGGAAGTTTGAAACTGATATTTTGATTTATGGGGTACTTTACATGAAGCCTTAAAACAAAATTAAAAATTTTCTCAAAAATGATTACAAATTTTTGGATAACTTCGTCGGCGAGAGCGTAAAAAACGCTGAAAAGAATGGTGCGGGTGGCACATTGATTGAAATCAGTGAGTATTCTAAAATTGCAAAACTTCAAATATTTTCAGTCTACAACTGCAATATTCATAATAGATATGTTTTTCCTTAAGGAAATCTGTTCTTCAAACTCATCTTCACATTGTGTGAAGTACAATTTTTCAAAAACATGTGTAGTTCTCACATAATTTTGTGTGTAATATAGGCAATTTTTAACAATTATTTTCTCAAAAATCGCTCCAAAGTTTTTCTGTACGTTTGCTCTTTGAATGTATTAAAGGATAGTAAAGAAAATTGGTGCTAGTCTCATATCCGACGAACTCTTTGTATTTCGAAAATTGCTAGTAGTTAACATTTCAAAACTTTAAAGTTCAAGATAGAAATGTTTGCCTTAAACAAAATCTGTTGAAAAATCAGATCTTTAAAAGAATGTATTTTTTAACGAGTTCTTTTGCGTTATATTCTGACCAAAATTAATGCAGTTAAAAATATATTTTTTCTTAAAAACTGCTCCTAATTTTTTCTTATATTTTTTCCACAGATAAAACATGGGACACTTAATACAATGGTTTCATTTTCCTTAATAATTAAAGATGTCATTGCCAACAATGTTTTTTAATTCAATAGCAGCTTTCGATGGCTTAGCTATCATCATCAGTTGTCTGCTATATGGAAGCCACAAAACGACTACGTAGTCGTAGATGATGGCTAAGCCATCGAAAGCTGCTATTGAATTAAAAAACATTGTTGGCAATGACAACATCTTTAATTATTTTTAAAATGCCAAAGATATCTTACCACAACACCTATATTTCATTTTCCTTGTACTCTCTGAATTTTTCAATAGTGCTTATTAAGAAATAATGCTAGAAAGTACATGCTGTGGTGGCTCCAATAGATTTTTTTCTATTTAGTTTCTCTGTAGAGCAAAGTCTACTTAAAATATATCGCAGGCCTCATTTTCGTTGGTTTCTTCTGAATTTTCGAAGATTGCAAAAGTTCAAAATTGTTTTTCCTACTACTATAATATTGAAGATAGAAATTATTTTCTTCGTAAATATTCTTCCAACATAGATCTTAAAAAAGGTCATGTACAATTTTTCGAATCATAGTGTTTTTGCATAATTTTGTATCAAATACAGGCGATTAAAAAAATTGCAAAAGTTAAAGTGAATGTGAAGAGGTATTTGGTAACACAAGTACTTTTGTTTCTTAAAAACATTACTCATTAAGTATGTGTTGAATTGGCCTTATTTACAATCTGACAAAATATATTGAGTAGACAAATTTTACAGAATCAACTTCAAGTTGAGTGATCTCGTAGTGTTTGAGCATAGCACATTTTTGTCTTATACCGATGATATATTGTATTAATTAGAAGCTTCAACATTTACATTCTTGAATGACCTTCTTAGACTTGTTTTAATGTAATCTCTTTCTTAACATACTGCCTCAATGTCAATATTTTTAATTAATTGTGTGGATTGCAGTACTGTCTCATTGATATTACTGGTGGTATGAAATCCTTCAGAATTCCTACTTTAGAAGATATTAAAAAACATCGTGTAATAGTGACCACCTTAAGTACATCCATGTATCTTTCAAGCCTTGGATTACAGAGAGGTAAGTTAACATGAATTGTAAGCAAACTTATGCATGTAACTATAATTATTTTGATAATTTTGGGTATACTGTGTTTAGAATTGTTTTTATTGTGATGTGACTGAATTCTAATGCCATCATGGAAAGTAACTTGATAGTAACTTAATAGGTTGTAATGTTTTGATATTCTCTGATTTTTTTTAATGAGTGTAAGAAAATTTCCCTGTGAGAAGAATTGAGTTAGAAAATATTTTTATTCGCTTTTTTCTCAATGAAAACTAAGATATTTCTTTAGGTGAGTTTCTTAAATTTTAAAGGTGGAATATTTGACTTGTTTCAATGAATTGTTTCTTTTTATGTTTCTCCTTGGGATAGACACATTAGTTGTGATTATTAATTTTACTTCGTGTTTTTTACTGTGATTGTTTTGTGAGCAAGTGGATCTAATGGGTGGTATGAATAAAAGTAAGCATGTACTCTTTGCTCCGAGTTTCCGAGATCTTACTCAGTTTCGTATGAATAAAGTGGGTAAGCAATTGCTCAGTCTCTGAGTACTTGCTTCATCTCTGAGCGTTCTCTCAACTGGCGAGCAAATGCTCAGAATTGGTATGAATAAAGTTAAGCGTTTACTCTCGAGAGCGAGCACTTGCTCCAAAATTTCTGAGGGACCTTAGTAGCAGACTCACGTTTGAAAAGTAAAGTTAAATTGGCCAATTTTTTACCATGTGTTGATAGACATGTACAGCGGACTAAAAAAAAGCAAGGTTAGGCGAAATTCTCGTGATGTAGACTATTAGAATAACCTTTGCCGAATCGAAAAGTACAATGTATGGTTGGTTCGATTTTTATCGGAGTTTGCTTTCAGGCGCGTTTTCATATTGCATATCTTCTATGTTAATTGGCCATCGCTCTTTTCTACTTGGAATTTTTCGGGGTACTGTTTTTTGAAACTTTGTAATGTTTCGTTTCGGCCACAGCGTACTTCCGAAAGCTGGCTCTTTTCAAAAATAATTTTATATTCACTTAGCTTTTCGGTAAAAGTAGCTGGGCCACTAGCGCTTGTTTTTGGTTACTGCTATTCATATTCTAATTTAAAGAATGAGACAACAAACTATTGTTCTTTATTCCGCACAAATGTGCGCGACGTGCGTAACGTATGTAACCTCTTTGTTGCTCAAGAACCCAATTTTTAAAACTCTTAGCCTGCACTATCACTTGTTCACGACGAGCAAATGCTGGCCAGACATGAGTAAGTTCTTCGAAGACATACGAAGTTTTTATTCATACGAAATGGAGCTTCTGCTCAGTGCCGCGGAGTAGACTCACGTTGCTCCGGAGCAAGTACTCATGAGCAAGTGCTCAATTTTATTCATATGACCCAATATCTCGTATCAAAAATGTGCATGTTAATATATGTACTACATTTGCCTCAATATTAATTGTAGTTATATTGGTACAATGCGTACAGCATCATAGTTTTATGACTTTTTTTACTTACGCTCAAAAAACACAGAAACAAATGGGGGACTTGTGTGGGTATCATGGCATGCTTTAGTGAGTGAGTGCGTGTGTGCGTGTTAACATACAGAATCAGGGGTGCAAATCACAAAATAAAGGTTTTCTGTATATTATATTTTTAGGGTTTTTTTCTCACATTCTTTTGGATGAAGCAGCCCAGGTAATGGAATGTGAAGCTATTATGCCATTAGCATTAGCAGATGATAAAACTCGAATTGTTTTAGCTGGAGATCATATGCAGGTAAAGTGATTTGTCCCTCTGTATTTCTTTTTTCATATATTGCATAAAAAGTAATCAAAATGCACTCCATGATATTATTAATTGTTGCAGCTGAGTCCAGAGTTATTTTCTCATTTTGCTAAAGAACGAAATCTCCATGTTTCTTTGCTAGAAAGATTATATGATCATTACCCAGCAACATTTCCGTGCAAGATCCTATTATGTGAAAATTATAGAGCACATGAAGCTATCATTCAGGTAAAATGTTTTATAATTAATTCATCTTACTGTTTTTTCTGTGTATTTGAAAATAATGTATTAATATTTGTATAAAAACATCACGGCATATCATTGTACCTTGGATCACTCTTTGTAAACGCATAAAAAGGTATGGTATTAAACGTTCTCAACAACAACAACAACAACAACAACAAAATTTTGGGGGGCAGAACTGTGTGAATGTCAGTCTACTAATTTATAGATATTGAATGTTAGGACGCCAAAAAAATTTTGTGTTGGTAGATTTTAGTTGTTTTTTAATTAAATTTAAAAGTTATGGGAAACGGCAATAATAATTGAAAATTAAAAGATGCAGAGAGGGTATGTGCATATAATGCATATATGTTGCATGTGTATAAATTTGGCAGAACATTTAAAACAATATAAAATAAGGGAAAGTATATACGAGTGAAATGCGTTTGGGCAAATGAGTGCAGTGTCGAGGCGGCGAGCGATTTTTCGGCGAAAGGCGACGGGCAAGTTTGCTAGAGGTTCAGGGGAGCGCTACACGAGTGCTTTCTCCCGCGCTGCCCCCCTCCCCCCCCCCCGGGACTGGCTACACCCAATGCGCACGGAGACACCTCGAATCTGTCTGGCCTGGGTGACTGTTTCATTCAAGGTCGTAAGAGTTGACATCTAGGAAAGAATAATCGTTTCTAAAATTTTGTCCAAAATAATATGACTTTTTACCGGACTTTTTGGGAAAACTAATTGTTTCACAATGCCGGTGGTCATGATATTCCCTGTATCTAAATGGAGACTATACGGAGCATCTAAAAGGAAAGTAATATTACTTTTAACAATGGTATTTAATGTATTTTATACCATTTGGATTGTATAATTGTAAAAAACCTGTAACAAGTATTGTGCTTCAGGGTCAATGACCCCCATCTCGATCAGGTTTTTGTCCAGTTTCCCTGATTATCGAGTAAATGCTGAGATGGCCCCTTGTTTTGCTTCTGGACATAAATGTAACTTTAAATAAACATCTCCTCATAGCACGTGACACACAGTTTTTAACTTCTTTTGACGTAAATAAAAAAATTAGTCCATTGGACTTCGAGTATTTACTCAAAGGTCAGATTGTTATAATTTTAAGGATATAATATTATAATAATTTTATTACTTTTATAAATATTTTCTTATATTTTGAATTTCCAGGTTCCAGATTTCCATTTTGAATGTTCAGGTTATATACACACGCGTGCGCGCGCACACACACATAGATACATACATAGATACATGGTGTCTGGAGAGTTAATGTCGGAACTTCAAAAATAAGCTCTTAAGAAGTTGTTAAGCATATTGTAACAAATATTGCGTCATCTGCTGGAATTCGCTGGGCGGATTGCGTAATTTTAGGCGCCCCCCCCCCCCGAACTGAACGGTTCCGTGTTATTCGAGAGTCGCGTAGATATGTTGCGCACGTTCCCGATGGCTCGAGGCGGGCGCAGGCCAGGTATAAATTCGCTGCTGCCGGCGGCCGCTGAAAGCAATAAGAAGTAGAAGCAGTAGTAAGCAGTCAGTCAGTCCGTCAGTTTGAGTATGCAGTAGTCTGTCTGCAGTGGAAGCTGAGCGGTGAAGTGTGCATGGCCGTAAACAGCAGTGCAGTAGACCCTCCACTGCGTTGTGGTCTGCGCAGTGGACCGTGGACAGTGCATCGGACTGTGCGATAGTGTAGAAGTAAACAGTGTAAATTAATGAGATTGCAGTGAACAGTGTTAATAAATAGTCAAGAGAACAGAATCGCGAGTAAGGAAAATAATGAAGTGAAGAACACAAGGACTGTAATCTACCTGTAAATAAATTAAGTATTTCTAGTGTAACATTGTTTACAAATAAATGTCTTTGTTTAAATAATACCTTAGTATGCTTTAATTCACCACGAAGAAACGCTACAATATTTTGTCTAATACACAGCTGGAATTTTCCGAATGGTTGAGCGGCAATAAGCACTCAAATGTTGGTTTAAAAATGCTTTCTTGGCAAAAATGTTCATATCAGAAGCATGGAAACACTGCAGAAACATGTAAATTATTTTTTATTTACAAAAGAAATTTATATATTTGTTCAAAAAGGGAAATTAACACGGAAATAAAAAAGCGGGTAATTTTCACAATTCGACTGCATTTTATTTCTCGGTTAATTTTTCTTTCTGAACAAATACATTCATTTCGTTTGCAAATAAACAATTTACGTGTTTCTGGAGTGTTTCTATGCTTCTGCTATGAACATTTTTGCCTAAAAAGCATTTTTTCAAACCAAGTTTTGAGTGTTTATTGCCGTTCAACCATTCGGACTATCCCAGTAGTTCAGTAGACAAGAGTTTTTTTGCGAAGTTTGGACGTTTCCTCCCAGTACACATGTATGTATGTATCTATACACAAAAACGTACAAACAGACATGCATAGAAACGGACACACATGCAAACAGACACGCATGCAAACAGACGTATTGTTATTTTCTTAATATGAAAATCTAGAATTGCAGAAGAAGTGTATGTTAAGCGGGTTATTACAACAAGCATTCTTGAAAACTTGAAAATTGACTGTTTGCCATAAAAAAGTTATATTATTGAAAAACTAGTTTTAAGAATACCTTCTCGGGACGAGTCAAGTTAAGTTTTTTCAAGAAAGTGAAAATCGTCCTTACTTATTAATGTCGCAAGTATGTTCGGCAGTGACAATAATGAATAACGTGCACTGTTGGACTTGCAACCTAACATATCACCCGATACGAGTAATAAAGAAACTGACGGAGTAAGTTCGACATGTGTTTTTTCTGCTCTCTTCACTCATCCTTTACCGTCTTCTTCTCTATTCATGAAACAAAAATAAAATTTGAGGCTGAGAATTTTCATTGTTCTGTGTGATGGTTTTAGAAAAGTATTCTTCTTTACTTGAAGATGTAACAGTGTCTGCTGTGAATTAATGTCTTGGCTACTCCATATTATTTTGTGCTATACCTAAGAGAAAGCAAAGATTTTAAAATCAAAAATAAAATATTTTTTTCTGAATGCCTGAAACATGACACGAATTCAATTCACCATTGCCTCTATAAACTCATCACACTTCTCAAATAAGTTTATGGCAGTGTTATGAGACATATTTTTCACTTGGGGTCAGTGCCTAGTATTACAAAACAATGCAAATTTATGCTTCCAAGAAGATGTCTTCAATGCGAGTGCTGATTGGTATTTATTCGCTTTGGCCTCGGAGAGAGAAATGTGTTTGCTTGGTTAGTAGTAGCCCATATGCGAATAATAAAAAATAACACAAGGAAGAATTTATAAATTTAATAATACAACTCATGAATAAAATTGATTTTATGTTACAGTGTTACCGGATAATTTGGAGAGCTTCTTTCTCAAATGAGTTGTTTCACTTCTTCAAAATATTGTCTTAAAAGGGGAAAAATCAAGAATTGATCATTCTTACGCAAATAAATTTACATGTCCCCTTCTAAAATTTCCAGCAGAGCACAGCAGCCCCATTTCCCAGCTTTGAGAGTGAATTAGTCATGTTCTACAGTCACACTCTCAACAAATATTTAAAAAATTGTATCTGTTTTTGTATTATTGATTTATATTGTGTTTGCACTTTATGTTGCAGTTTACTTCAGAACTCTTCTATGAGCAAAAGCTCATTTGTAGTGGAAAACAACCTCGTCATGATAATTTTTATCCTCTCACCTTCTTCACAACTCGTGGGGAAGACATTCAGGATGTTAATTCTACTGCATTTTACAATAACTCGGAGGTGAGAAAAGTATAATTTCGATAAATTTTATAAAAATGATCCATTTTGTTATCCCCAGAAAATATAATAAAGAAGTAATAATATTTTGTTTATTCATATATTTTAGTATTATCGAATTATGCAGTTTTTACTGACTTAAAGATACGGAGGGGGAAAGATGTTACTTGATACTGTGTAGATATTTTTATGTCTTTTTAAACACAAAGGGCCGCAGAACGAGTTCATGGCAACACTGTATATTCTCACTCCCAATTGCAATCAGAAATTTTCATTAGACAATAGGCATTAAGAAAGGTATAGACGCTCAGCTCATAGGGCAACAAAATGATACATATTAAATAGCATGATACAGAATTGATACATATTAAACGGCATGATACAGAATGGATAAGTTTTAAATGGCACTTGATTTCACAGATCATGCGAATGCACTGCTGGGTTATGTCTAAACCCGTTTTTCTTAAATGAAACCTTTAAAAAACCTAAATGAAAACAAGTTGATAATATAAGAATTATATTTTATGCAATAAAACTATAAATCTAGCAAATTCCTTCAGTAAAACCCCAAAATGTGCAATTTTTAGGAAGCATTATCCAAAGCGTGTTATTTTATTGGTAGTATATTGTATGTTTGTTCATATTATTGCATTTATGAATAAGTGTGCTATGAATAAATGTCCTATTCAATTTCTGGAAAACTCAACAGTTTTATGTGAAAAAGATCTCGCTTACGAGAAAAACGCCATTTTTTTTTCTTCAAAATTCTTGTAAGAATAGTGCTTAATACAATGTTTAAGAAGACACAAAAATAATTTTGCTGTATTCTTTTATTTTTTCAAAAAATATTCAAATGTATTTTTTTAAATATCTCTCACGCCTTGTATATTCCAGCAATTGGCTTTTTCTTAAAAACGGCGTCAAGTGTTTCAACGAAAACTTCCTTATAGGACGAGCTTTTCTTCTTCTTTAATATTCTAAAAGTAATAGTTCAGTTATACAGCAAGCCGAAAAATAGAGAAAGTTTTTAAAAACTGAACTTTGGGCGGCAATAGATGGCAGTCGGCTAGAGTATGGAGGAAAACTGATAAGCTAGCCCAGTCCAAAGATTAGAAAAGCAACTAGTACGAGAAAATGTGTGGCAATTTGTAGCACCACTAGTTTACCTAAGCTCTGTGATATTTTAATTCGTTTCAGAGATTCCGTCGTGCACAAGTTTTCACTAAGGTCTCTTGTTTTCGGTGGTCACGCCTGTTTCTTTTGTAAGCTTGTTGATTTCTTTGTATTCGGTGTGTAGAGCCGTGTTTTCATCTTTGTTTAACATTAGTTGTTGTCGAAGATTTAATGATTTTGTCTCCTCACTTAATTTGTTCTGTCATTTTTTGATTTGTCTGTGAAAGAAGTCCTTTTAGCAGACGATTTTATACATCCGTCAAGCGTAGAATATTGGGTTTGTACACTGTTTCTGACCATTGGATTTTGTGAAAATTATTAGAAAGAATAGACTTATATTTAGGAACTTCCATAAGATTAGATTTTGGTAGTCTCTTTTTGTACAGTCTGCTTCGTGTTTTTTGTTCCATATTTCCGTTTTCGCGCGTGCCATGCGGTGGTCATGTGTGTAATGACCTGAACATCCGATAAAAGATTTGTAGCATCACAGAGAATAAAGTCGATTTCATTTCTTATTTTACCTCCTGGACTGTTCCTCGTCCATTTCTCCCTCCAACTTTTGCGAAAGAACATATTCGTTATTCTCGTATTGTGACTCTGAGCAAATTTTATCAAGAGTTCATCTGTTATTTCTTTCGCCGTAACCATAAGGACCTATAAACGTCTCACTTCTGTTTCTTGCTGCCAATTTTACTATTAATTACTATCCCCGATCACAAAAGTTATATTTGAAGTGTATTGCGCTAAAGCCTTGTCTAACCCGTCGTAGAATGTTTGTATTTCGTCGTCCGTAAACGAAGTTAGCACGTAAGTTTGTATTACTATCATCTTGATCTTTGTGAACGATAGTTTGGCAATTATAATTCTTCGGAGATGGCTATAATATGTTACATTTCCCTTATTTCTGCTGGAGAATATGAATCCAACTCCTTTCTCGTTACGTGTTCCTCCAGAAAACATTGTCTTTCATCTTGCAGTTCCATTGTTGTCTGTCCTTGCCGTCGTACGTCGCGTAATTCCAGTATATCACTGATAACAGTGCTTCTTGCAGCTCCAAAAGTCCATCTTCGGTTCTTAAAGTTCGTACATTTAGAGGGCCTATCATAATTCTTTGAAGACATCCGTGGCTTCCGATTGTCATCTTCAAACGTTACTTTTGCTTTCCGTGGTTTTGGAACCATTAATATTTCTTTTTCCGTTGTTTTCGCATGTACATTTATGCAGGTTTCTATCATTTCCTTTACTTTGTTTATATTACGCCCTTTTTTACTTCCAAAATGTATGAGATGTTCTCAGACATATGAATCAACTATGAATATTCTTTCTTTATTCGATCCGTCCAGTTTTCCCACTTATCATTGTCATGATGTTAAGATGTCAGAGACCTTCGCAGTGTTCCCTTTTTCGCGGTATTTTGCTTTTGCTCTGTTACAGTTTGAATTTCCCTCTCTTGTTTGGTCATATCATGTATATGCAGTAACCAGAGCCTTTTAACTTTATCTTATTCTTTAACAGCTTTATTTTTTCCTCAAATGTAGCCATTTTCACTTTAATTATTCCTCTGCCCTTTGTCTTTGCCCAAGGGAAATGTTTTTTGAAAATTCTCCGATAATCTAATCTGTAACAGGGACACTTGGTAATGTTTACAGTTTTTGCTTTGTCTTGGGGATCTGTTAGATTTAATTATGAAATTGTTTTTCTTTTCTAGTCTAATATTTCTTTGGATCCCTTCTTCTATTAATTTTAGCCTTAGTTCAGCACTTTTTGATCTCTCTTCATATTTCCAACTGTTTGAACAGTTCCCTATTACACACTCCTAATTATTCACGACGCTTCTGTGGTAGCGAGTGCGTCATGCGCGCGTCAAGCCTGCGGTCGTCGACCGCAGCCCCCAGTAGCACAAGCTCCATTCGTCCCGTTCAAAGCGTTGGCTGGAACGGAGCACGGCAGGGCGTCGCCTGCAGCCCCTCTGCAGTGCGAGGGTCGCGCCGTCCCCAACGCCTGCTCTCGTCCTCCGTCCTCTTTCTTGTTCACCTCTCCACCAGTGGAATAATCGACTTCTCCCATCTTCTTGCTTCTTCTCTCCGCACTTGCAACGTTGGATGCCAACGTGCAGTAATGTCCCTTTACACTGTGCTAATGCTTTACAACTTTCTACAATCTCCAATATGCTCCACTGCCACTCGTGCAAACTAATTTCTATCTCGCCGCCTCAAGTACGCAAATTATTGTTATTTACAGGTAACTGAATACGCTCGTCATACACATCCAATTCTCAATGCTTTCACAATACTCTGCCAATAATTCACACGCCGTTCCAGTTATTTGTGCTCGTGTAGAGTAAAAGACGCTTAATAGATTGGCGCAGGTCTCATGTTTGTTGAAATCCCAAATTTTCGAAAACTGCAAAAGTGCAATTGTTTTGGAGTTCTTCCTGCAAATATAATATTGAAGATAGAGATTTTTTCGTTAATGAAATCTGTTCCTTAAAGACAGATCTTGGTATAAGGCACAATTTTTCGAAAATGAGTAGTTTTTGCAACATTTTGCGCGAAGTTTTGCCAATTTTTAATTTTGTAAACAATTTTTTTCTCTCAAACGGTGCCAATTTTTTTCTTTAAATTTCTCTCCTCGTATGTATCACAGAGCAGGAAAAATGACACTAGTCCCATTTCCGACGAACTCTACAAAATTGAAGATTAAGAGTTTTGCTGTTGATAAAGTCTGTTGTAGAAACTGAGTTCTTTAAAAATATCTTCGCACCCAATTTTTTCATTAAATTTTCTTTTCGTATGTAACTACGAACCGTAAAGAAAGTGGTGCTAGTCCCATTTTCGGCGAACTCTGTATTTTCGAAAATTGCAAAAATTGCTGGTTGGAAATACTGAGTTGAGACGGTTTTTATGTGTCGGTCTGAGTTCAAATCGTGCCGTTATTCTGTAGCGTAGTGGTATGACTGACAGCGCGATAACTCGGTTAGTTCGTGTCTCGGTACAGAAAATAATTTTTGTTGACTGAAAACACTTTTGCATGTTAATGTAGAAGTACAGACGTGGAAAAATTATAAGCAAAATGATATTTAAAAGAAAAACACTATTGTTTCAAAACATTAGAACTAACTATAGAATTTAAGAACCTGCAAACTTAATAATATTTGGTGGTAGCACCTTTAGCATGCATTAGTCAACCTGTTCATTCCTTGAACGAATTTTTTGCATTATTCTGCAATTTTGTCATCTTTATTCCAAATGGTAATGATGTAATCCAAGAGTTGTTCCTGTTTCGCCATCACAATCGTTTTAAGAACATTCCATGGTGATTCTATTAGATTCATATCTGGGCTATTTTCTGGCCAGTCGAGCACACAACTATCACCGAAATCCTATTTACTCTTCATAGTTTTTTTTATTGGTGGCAAGGAACAACATCGTGCATGAATATTCCATCCCCAGTTCAAACCACTACCTAATGACAGTCTACCCACAAATAGTCTGATACGATTAAAAATAATAATTACGAATGAATACATATATTTGAATTATAGTCTACAAAGACGCGCTGATCTCCATATCCAATAGTGTGTACTTAGATAACCTTAACCAATTTATGCATTCATCAAATTTGCACAAATATATTTCAGAAGTTTGTCGAAAACTGAAACGTTTTCCGTGAAAATGATGTAAAAATTGAGTATTTTCAGAAACGCTCCATGACATTTTCTCAGACATTATTCCAACATTTTTAATAATAATTTTCATATTCCTATATTCAGATTTTACTCATTTATAATATTCTTAGTTTTATTTCAGTTCTATCAGTAGGGAGCCGAAAAATTGAGAAAATTGAAATAAATGTCCTTATGCGAAAATAGATTGCAGCTACGAAGAGGGTGGGGGAAAAACCGAAGTTAGTCCAGACTATGTAGACGTTAGAAAACTAACTAGTCGGAGATAGCTTGTGCCATTCTGTATGAAGTCTAGTTGCCGTTTGTAAGGCGACCTTACTGTCTTACAATCATGCTCTGTTTCTGAAGGGTAAGGTCGTATCTTCGGCCGAAGGCAAGGCAACATCAAGGTCCATCACGTGACCATTAGTGCATTACGTCGCTCTGGCCAGTTTCACCAACCAGGGTCACTTTCGTAGCTGATCCGAGTTTGGTGATCCTGATCCGCGTTCATAACTCTCCCTTTACTACGTATAATATTCCGTATATACTTACGTATACGGGAAAGTAAAAATGAGGCTGTTTATAACCATTTCTTATTTTAAAGGTTTTCAAAAATTGTCAAGACGTGACCCCAGATTAATTGAAAACTACTTATGTTTCGAAAAAAATTGTACCCATCATTTAATGATCTAATTTGAAAGGAAAATTAAGAATAACCTGTCTCCAGTAATCCACTCGCAAGAGGGGTTTCAATAAATTTTCCACTTGCGTATATGCGTATTTTTCTAATTTCGATCGTAACATTTAAATCAAATTTGGAGACTTTTTCATAAAATTTTGCGATGCCGTAGGGGCTTCATATAAAGTATCTCTAAAATGAAAAGATTTCGTTTCAAATTGGCCGAGTCTTGTGTATCGGACGAGAATAATTGGAAAGTATTTATTCTGGAGAAAATAGTATCGTACTAGTATTGTTGACTGAAAAACATTTTGGGCGGGAAACACTTCTGGGCAGCCTAAACGTATATTTCCATCCATATTCGATGTTTATCTGTACTACAATACTTTCTCTATGCTATGTACACGATAATGTAAAAAAATATAGAAGGGCGTTGCCGATTTAGGAATTCAGAAACGAGTTGATAAATTCTTTATTTAGCCCAGAATAGTTGTTCAAAATGTTTTATTTGATATGGTTTTGAGGAACTTTAAATCATGCAAGACAGTACGTTTTAAGAGACAGAAGTAGTGAAAATGCAGGGAAAAGATTCAGGCGACAAGCGGGCACACTAAATTAAATACTTGAGAAGGCTTAAGTCTCACCAGACATACACTATCGTTGGTAGCGTTAGAAGTTAACTGGTTACAGACAATAAAATAATCCACACATTCATTTTTTACCTTCTGTCTACTCTCTGTTTATCACATATTCAGTTTATCACAGAAAATCAAGTTTTGCTTTTCTGTGGAAAGTTTTTTTTCTTAAGAGGGAAGCACGTGAATTAAAACCATAGAAAAATGAATTATATGTATGATTTTTCCGTTTTGTTTCCCAATTACATTCTTGTGGTGACTATGAATTAGTAGACATTTCACTTTTCCTTATGATCTGACTAGAACTAAAATGTAGTTTTCGCTTGCTACCATCTGAGCTTTTTCCTTCTCAAAATGTGTATTGATATTTCAGCATTTATAATTGTTAGAAATAAATGTTAATTATTTAATTGTGTTATCAGGTGTATGAAGTGGTGGAACGAGTCTTAGAATTAAGAAAGAAATGGCCTCCATCCTGGGGGACTATTGATGACCAGAGCATTGGAATAATGACGCCTTATTCAGCACAAGTATTTCGTATTCGATCGGAACTACGTAAACGAAGGTTAGGAGGAATATCAGTGGAAAGAGTATTAAATGTACAAGGTAATTCTTTGGAACACTAGTTTACAATAATATTATATGAGAAAAAATAATGTTTGTTATTGCTCTTATAATGTTTATTGCACGTGTGTGTACATCTCTCTCTCCATTTCTCGTCTTCTCCCTCTCTCCCTCTCTCCTCTCTCCTCTCCTCTCTCTCCCTTCTCTCTCCTCCTCCTCTCTCCCCCTCCTCTCTCCCCCTCCTCTCTCCCCCTCCTTTCTCTC